TTTATTATTTTAATTTTAAAGGCTAAGTTACACGTCCGGAGCTCCACGATCTTCCTCCTCGTCTTTATTCTTTCTTGCAGCTTCTTACAGTTGCTTTTCTCCACTCATAATTAAAGTTGCAATTTACTAATTAGGTTTAAGCAGAATTATAAATGCGGCAAATATCGCCTAACTGCGGAACACATTTGCAAATATTAAAGATTGGAACCTACTGTATATATGAAAAGCCAAAGTTTAGCAAAGATTCAGCTAAGTTTTTGTCCATAAAACCGTATGAATCTTAATAGAAAGTTATAACAAGAAAGAATGGAAAAAAAGGAAAAGGAAGGTAAGAAATGAAAATTTATGGGATTATTGTAATAATTATTTCGGCTCATTAAGTCGAATACATTTCTTACCATTACCACAATTATAATTCGCCATATGACGGTTGTGGCAATTGAAGTTAGTGAAAGTTAAGGCTAAATTAACTGCGTAATGTGTGTTATTAGTGAACAGAGCGTTATGGAAAATAAGTAGTGATGCATTTGTCATAATTCAATGGATGTGTCGTAGCTCCATTTGGTGATTGTCTGAAAACTCTATGCTGTTCGCTATAATGCTGTGGTTTACGTGTGTGCTCAAGGATTTACGTGCGCCGTTTAGAAGCTCGAGCTTAGAATCTCGAGACTGAAGGGCCGGTTTTATTTAGTATATTAAGTGCTGTGTTTTGAATCAAGGTCTTTGCTGCTCTTTGCGCCAAGATTTAATAAGCCAAATTTTAGTTCACTGGCTGGCTTTGAAATAAAAAATGTTTGAAATTCCAGAAGATTTATCGACAAAATCAGTCATACAGCATTCCAGTAAATACACAATTTCGTATTTGCCTATAAAAAAGACGCATAGATACTAATTCAGGTTAATTACCAGCGAAAATAACAGCTTTGTACTGTCTCATTCATCGGCTTTACATTCGTAATGCGTACAGCAAAACGCATAATTGCACTGAAGTTTCAGTTTTATTGTTTGAAATGACATTTTTTTTAGACAAAGCTAATAATTTTTTTTTAGAAATATTTCAGTTTTAATTGAACGACTACTCGGGCCGCGTCTGAAGAGGTGGCGCGCATGCATCGAACAGGCAATGAGTACTAACTGGAGATGTGCAGTCCTGGATCGAAATGCCTGGCCCGAAAAGCTTCGCCCATGTGGACTGAAAAGCTT